TACAGGAAGCCCGAGGCAGAGTTGCTCTGCCCTGGGCTTCCTGGAATCAGCTGCTGATCAGTTTCAGCAGCAGCTGACTTGGGGACGCCTGGGGTTCTTAAGTTGAATCTGTATGTAAGTCAGAACTGGTGTCCAGATTCAGCGGCTGAATCTGGATGCCAGTTCCGACTTACATACAGATTCAACTTAAGAACAAACCTACAGTCCCTATCTTGTACGTAACCCAGGGACTGCATGTATATACATAATATGTGACTCAGGGTCATATGCTGTCCTCCATCTGCAGCTCAATTCTTACTGATACCAGTCAGTGTCTTGCACACAGATAAAGGGAAGTATGTGGCCCAAAGGCTTTTCCACTCAAGATGAACATGTGTCCCATGTGCAACACAATACTAGCTGAAAGTGGGACGGAGCAAGTACAAATGCAGCCCTTTCGTTTGTTGATGTATTGTACAAACTTGGAAATACTCTCTCAGGTATAGCTCATTTCATTAAATTCCTTTGGCAGTAATTGAGGAAATTGTGCCACTTCAGCAAGATATCCAAGAAAAGTGACACTAGATACATTCCGTTATTTTCAGGATAATACAAACAGAGCTTTCTTCTACTACTTCAAACAACTTCTTTGCAAACTATCATACGCACTCTCCTGGAGGGCAGCATTGTTTTTCTGGAGAACCTATAGGTGAGATACAGTAGACACCTATGCTCTATCATTAGCTTTTGGACCTTTTTTAATGGGGGGCTGCTGGAGGGACTTATTTATTCCAAAGCTTGTGAGTGACTCCAGTCAAATGGTAAATCTAATGGGTCAACCAAGTTCATTCTGAAATTCAGAGGGTTTATGTTATACAAGGTACTTTCTTTCAAGTATTAATTTTGCTTTGCTTGCATTGTTATAATACTGTGGGTTCCGTGAATTTCAGTGTAAAAGTATTGGCATGTGAAATATTTGGTTGTCAGCTGTGGATATATGCAAAATCATAAATAAAATCTGGTTCATTGCTTGTATTTTTTTTACAGTAAATGAGACTGAATTGTCCTCCTTTCATATGCTTTTTTTTCCCTTCATGACTCCAATTTAGATTCTGTCCACTCTACCCCCCATACCGTTCTTCCCTCACTGACACGAACACATTTCCAGCACAGCATTTGGGGCAATTTAAACTCAGCTAATCTAGAATCCAAAAAAAATTGACTTTTCCCCCCCAAGAGGATCTTTCCATAGTTTTTTACTGAAACGTCACTAATTCAGTCAGCGAGTGCGAGGGCTAGAGGAGGGTTAGTCACTATCACCACCACCCCATATCTCTGCCTTGCCACCCCACCAACTGCATGCCTGCTTAGCTTGGCCAATGAAGACTCATGTCCAGCAGTACGAGGACCAGGAAGAGGATGGCACCTTGACATGGGTATGTGCATCATGTGTTGCTATGGCAGGCACCTCCAAATCAGTGAGAGCCCATGGGCCAGAGAAGACAAGGCGCTGCCTCACAGACAAGGCGCTGCTGCTGCAGGCTCTGCAAGCCTTCCCTGGACTCCACTCCTCACTGAGCTGTGAGAGAGCCAGCAACCTCACACACAGTACACACTGGAGAGGTGGGCTTGACACATACACAGAGCAGGCTCCTCTGGCATGAGCCAGCATGGGACTCAGCCCCTCCACCTCAAAGAACATTTTCACTAGTTGCCTGCGGGCATAACTAGTGCATACAAAGTCCATTTTTCTTTCCTCCTCAGATACGTTTCTGCTGAGGAAATGCTGCCGTTCTAATGGTGTTGGCAATCCTCCAGGTTCCCCCTGGCAAAGAACACTACCATCAGGTGTTCAAAATTAAAAGTCGCTTAATCTCAGTTTGCAATGGCAGGAGAGTTAGCCTGTGGAGTCCTGCACATATTCCAGTACTAGTGCTCACATCTCACCTGACTAAATCCTTCCTGCGATTTCATTTGGCTGACATTCTTCACTGCCTGCCATAAACTGCCACAGAAAGCTGTACTGACAAAGTAAGCATCTGCCATGTTTCACCCCAGAAGTGGCTGCACTTCAGTTCCAAGTGAAGTGATTTATATTTTAGATTATATGAACACACATGCTTATTATTAATTACTACTGTTATATTGCCTTATACATCCATGGCAGCTAATGGGCAGGGCAGTACTTTGAAAATAGATACCTAAATATGATTTAGGAGCCTAAATGATTTAGGCTTCTGTTTTTTGGAAATCATCCTGCCACAAAGCAGTGTGTGTGGGTAAATAGCAAAGACAAGCGTATTACCTTTGGTGGTAGTCATCTACACTTGCCCATCAAAATATTTTCTCCAAGCACTTTCAAGCAGCTCCTAGTTTGAAAAAAGCCCAAGGCACACAGGTAGGCCTTCCAGATAAATTTACCCTTCTTCATCTCCCTACCCCTGCACAAATCTGAAAATTCTCCCCTAAAATGACATTGGCCCGAAGCCAATGATAATATTTAATCCTGGATCAATAACAGTGTGATGGGAGTGGGGAGACCCTATCCATTTCAGGGTGAATTCACCCTGTCCTTCAAGCTCCTCTCTGTCTCTAGGCAGTGAGACCTAAGGGCTAAAATTGACAGAGTTGCCCTGATTTATAGGGATGTAAGGCCCAATACTCCTGATCTACAGGACAGAAGAGTCCTGTAGAGCTTGTGGCCCATGACAATAGGGTCCTCTTCTCCGCAGGACAGCAAATCCTAAAGGCCAGAGTCCCAGTGGAGAGATTCAGTAGAGATACCCCAGCTTCGTAGGACAGTGGGGCCTAGTAGCCAGAGTCAATAGAGTTACGCTCTGGACCAGGCTGCATGGCTGGGGAGCCTAGTAGCCAGAGTCAATAGAGTTACGCTCCGGACCAGGCTGTATGGCTAGTGGACAGAACCAATAGAATTGCTCTGTGAGTGGGACTGTGTGGCCTAGCATACATTTGGGATATGTGGGCCACCACTTGAGGGAGTAGGCTGCAGCTAAGATAGGGGGACCCAGGCACCCGATCCACTGGGTCCCAGCTCAGGGCCCTGCTAGCGGTGAGGGTACTCACCACTGATCCAGCAGGGATCTGCTCACAGCATACTATCATCAGGACAATAGTTAACCCCCCCCTCTCCAGGCCACTTCCTACCATGATAGTCATGGTGTTGGTGCATCTTCCAGGGCTCTGGGTTTCTCAGCTAGTGCAACTCCCGGGAGCTCAGACCTTTCTGGAGTGTCCACAGATAGCCAAATGTTTGCTTGTGTCTTGGTACCTCTGACTTCTGTGATTCAGGGTTCCAACTGCTCCTGGGTGGGAGCCGGCAAGGAGTGGCCTTTCTTTCCAGCAGTCAGTCAAGATTGAGTTAGGCTGCTTCCTCTCATACTGGTGCTACCCTGAAGCATGCCCAGTAGGGACATGGGGGTGTGGCTTCCTCTGCCCATAGTGAGGAATTAATCCATTCCTCTCCAGTACAGGGTGAGATCACCCCCTCATAGATTGAGGTAACTTCAGGCCTAGAAAGGAGTGACATATATCCCTGGAAAAAGGAAACTTTCAACTTCCTGATGGGATACAGAGCACTTGCTTCTAGTCCTGAATTTCTAGTCCTGTATTTCAAATCCAGAAATACAGATTCTATAATCACTACATTTTATACAGAATACATGTTTTGGTAATTTTTAGAGGTTTAAAAGTATTAATGACCCAAGTCAAGTTTGTTAGGGTTGTCTACACTGGGGAAAAAAAGACCTGTGGCAGTGAGGCTAACAGCCCCTAGCACCTGACTCTAAAAATGTGAGTTTCACAGCCAAGACCATTGTAAGCCTACATTGCTATTTTCAGTCCCATTGCTCATTATCCCTACTCTCTGATTATCCTAATCTCTGACTCTTTCTTCCACTTTTGTCTGTTTGTTTTGGGGGTTTGTGTTTTGTTTTTGTTTTGTTTTGTTTTTTGCAATGTAGACACACCCTAAGGCACTTCAGGAATCATCTGGATTACAGCCTCCATCTAAGTCCCAAAAGACCAACTTAGTATTTATAAGCTTTACCCTACTTGTTGAAAACTGGCCTTTTTTCAACACCAGGCCTAGTAGAAGCCAGCATAGTAAACAATCTTTTGGCAGGGGGTTTGGAGAGACAGAAGAATATTGTTTGTTTTTGAGGAAGGGGGAAAGGAGTAGAAGAAATGGGTCAGGGAGTGAAAAATTATTTTTCTTGGCTGTGGCACCCAACTAAGGAAACATAGGTACAGATCCTCAAAGGTATTTCATTCCCTAACAGCTATTGGCATCAATGGAAGTTAGCAGCTAAATACCTTTGAGGATGCAGACCATGTCTCTAGCACTTTGAGGATTAAAATATATAGGAAACTGGTTTCTCTTATGCTAGCTACCATATCACAGCCAAGGGCATTATTCAGCAAAATTACTACCTGCTTTTTTAATGTTCATAACATTTACATCTGTATCTATGATCTGCTAAAATTCAGGTCTTTGTGGCCTCTCAAAATAA